TCTTAGGGGCCAGTTGGGGCCTCTTGGGGGCCTCTTGGGACCTCTTGGGGGCATCTTTGGGCGGAAGGCTCGAATTGTCGGTTGGTCTTCCCCTCCTGAGCCCTTCTTGGAGCCGTCTTTGGGCGGCACGCTGGCTGCGCGATGCCGATGCCACCGCGCGAGGAAGCGGGGGCAGAGACCCCGGTGCCCGGGTGCTCTCAGCACTGGGTCACCGGGAGTCTCGACCCATTCCCCGGGAGGGGTCTTACGGTTCCTGGGCCTAGCGAGGGCCTCTACAGTCGGGGCTCACGAGACGGGGGTCAATGCAAACGGGGGTCAGTCAGAGCGCCGGCTCTTGCAGGATTCTGGAGTGCAAGGGTCGCACTGATCCGGGTTTGGGTGCAGGATCCTGCAGGATCCTGCGGGATCCTGCAAAGCCTGACTGGCCCGGGGTTGCATTGATCCGAGGCAGGAAGTCCCCGATGGAGGCCGAAAACGGCGAAACTTCTCCGTCCAGGGTTTTTCGGACGGGTGCGCTGCTCTGCGGGCGCCCTCGAGCCTCGTTGCCCTCGGGCGTCGGGGCGCGACCGCGCCGCCCCCGCCCCAGTCTTGTCGGCCACGCGCAAACAGGGGTACGGGGGGGGGGAAGGCCTCTTAGAAGCACCCCTGCTTCTCAGAAGGCGCAGGCCTTGCCTGTGGAGGCGGGGCTGGCGCCTTCTGAGAAGCAGAGCCTGCTTCCAAGCCGTCTTCCCTCTCCCCCTGCCCCCCCCTGGTGCGCGTCTCCGGCGCATCCTTGCCTCCGCAGCTCCGCTCGGGGGGCCGCGGGGCAGCGCGGGGCCGCGGGGCAGCGCTGGCTGCTCTCTCCTGGCCCCTCCCCCCCTGCCGCCTCCGCTCCTCGAAGAGCCGCTCGTGCGAAACTGCCTGGACCTGCAAGCTTCCGGACCTCCGCGCGGCACGATCGTGCATCGGCGCCGGGCCCCCCCTGGCGGCGCCTCCGTCGCCGCCCCCCTCGCGCGGGGCCCGGCGCCGATCCAGGAGGTCCGCGCGGGCCCCGGAGAAGACGTGCTCACGCTGCTCTTTGTGCCTCTGGGGCTCCCCTCCCGCGCCAGGGGAGGGGGGCCCAGCACCGTACGAAACGTATACAAAACATGTACGGGACATATAGGAAACGTATACGAAACGTATACGAAATGCATACGAGCAGTATCCGAACCATTCACGAAACGTATACGACACGTATACGAAACGTATACGGAACATCTACGACACATACACGAAACGTATACGAAACAGTTCCGAAACAGATACGAAACATGCACGAAACAGATGAGATCCGCGCGGGGCCTCCGAGCGAGCCAATCATGGCCGTGCTGCTTCTTTCTGTGCCTCTGCGGCTCCCCCCATCCTCGGGTCCCCTCCCGCCCACCTCCGGCCAGGACCTGTCCGCCTCCCTCCTGAGCACGATGTTCGAGCTCATGGAGCTGGCTCCGAAGACGGGGCGGGGGCAGGGCAGAGGAGCAAGAGGTCCCGATGCTGCTGCGTTCCAGGATGTCCAGGCGTTCCCTGGACTTCCCACGTTTCCTGGTGCTCCGCACCGGCTGCGCCGCTGGAGACTCTCGGACGGGGCCAGGACGAGGAACAATTCTCTTCCAGAGCGTTCCAGAACGCTCCCAGAGCGTTCCAGGGCGCTCTCAAAAGGCTGCGGCGCCCGAGACATCCGCCAGAGCAGCCAGATCCCACAGATTCTCGATTCATCCTCACCCGAATTTATCCTCGCCCTGGCTTCGTCTTATGCCCTGGAAATTCTGGAACGTCTCCCGATTCAATCTTCTCGTGCCGCCATTCTCGCCCCAGGGATGGGGGCCGTCCAGCGAGGGACCCGGCGCGCCCGCGGTGCGTCGGCTGGGATCCGTGGCGAGCTGCCCCAGGGAGTCGGGGGGTCTCGGCCCTGATGAGAGGCGCGCCCAAGCTTTTTCGGATGCAACTCCTGGGAGGGCAACTTCTGTTTTTGCTCTGGTCCGAAATCCGGCTTAATCCGGCTTAATCCTGCTCAATCCGGCTTGATCCGGCTCAATCCGGCTTAATCCCGCGTAATCTGGCTTAATCCGAGGCTCACTCCGGCATAACAGCCCCCCAATGGGGCTTAATCCTCTTTAATCTTTCCGACGACATTCTCTCGGTAGTTGCCTCCTGAAGCTTTGTCGGCCACGCACAGAGGCAGTGGGGTAGGGGGAGGGGGGAAGACTTCTTAGGAACGGGCTGCTTCTCGGAAGGCGCGGGCCTTATCCGCAGATGTAAGGCCAGCGCCTTAGCAGCCCAGCCTCCTTCTGAGGAGCCTTCCCCCCTCCCCCAACCCTGCCCCTGCGCGCCGCCAGATTTTGACGCCCAGAATGGGTACGAAACAACTTCGGGGAAGCGTAAGACTCAAGTACACGAGAACTCGGGTTCCTCGTTCCAAGCAATGCCAAGCAATGCCAAGCAATGCCAAGCAATGCCAAGCAATGCCAAGCAGTAACAAGCAATGCCTAGCAGTAACAAGCAATGCCAAGCAATGCTCATCAATTTCAAGCAATGCCAAGCAATGCTCAGCAATGCCAAGCAATGCCAAGCAATGCCAAGCAATGCTAAGCAATGCTCAGCATTGCCAAGCAATGCCAAGCACTGTGCCCATGCAATAGGAAGCTTTCCCCTAATGGGGGTCGCTCGGGGTTCGTTTTCATGATGGCCCCGTCAGGCCAACCCGAGTCCCCCGAACCAGAGTCCTACGTTTCCCCGAAAATTGGTGCAATGCCCATGGATAATTGCTGTCCTGAGCAGACAGCGGCCGCTGTTGGGCAGGTGGCCTGTTGTCTCACATGGACAGCGGCCGCGGCGGTATGCGATCCCTGTTCCTAATGAGCAGGAGCTGCTGTTGGCCTTTGCACGCATGCTTTCCGTACCCCTTTCGACCAACCCGACAAGCAGGGCCCGGGAGCCGACGAGGTGGCGCTCGATGGTTCTGGTTCACCCACAAGTGTTGTTACATGGTCTTCGGCATGATCAGAGCCGCGACATTGGCACCACGCTGGCTTGAGGAGGAGGAGGAGGAGGTATGAAGTCAGGAGGCTGGAGTCCAACCTGACGAATGAGGTGGAGTAAGGAATAGCGAGTGAGGACTGAGGTGTGATGATGATGGCGAGGCTGACGATGCTGATGATGCTGATGATGATGCTGCTGATGATGACGCTGATGTTGGTTTTCATTATGATGAGGCTGATGTTGATGCTGATGCTGATGCTGCTGCTGATGATGCTGACGGTGATGATGCTGATGATGAAAATGAAGATGAACATGATGATGATTCTGATTCTGATGATGAAAATGATGATGCTGATGCCGATGATGATAATGATGATTACGATAATGACGATGATGATGATGATGATGATGATGATGATGATGATGATGATGATGATGATGATGATGATACTGCTGCTGACGATACCAATGATGATGATGATGATGATGATGCTGACGATGATGATGCTGATGATGGTGATGATAAGGATAAGGATGATGATGACGCGGATGAGGATGACGACGATGGCGCTGATGCTAATGCTGATGATGCTGATTATGATGTTGATGGTTATGATGATGATGATGATGATGATGATGAAGATGATGATGATGATGATGATGATGATGATGATGATGATGATGATGATGATGATGATGATGATGATGATGATGATGATGATGATGATGATGATGACGATGATGATGATGATGCTGCTGCTGCTGATGATTGATGATGATGATGATGATGACGATGATGGTAGTGGTGGTGGTGATGATGATGATGATGATGATGATGCTGATGATGATGATGATGATGATGATGATGAGATGATGATGATGATGATGATGATGACGACGACGATGATGATGATGATGATGATGATGATGATGATGATGATGATGATGATGATGATGATGATGATGATGATGAGGATGATGATGATGAGATGATGATGAGGAGGAGGAGGAGGAGGAGGAGAGGAGGAGGAGGAGGAGGGCGAGGTTGGGGAGGAGGAACAGGGGAGGAGGAGGAGGAGGAGGAGGAGGAGGAGGAGGAGGAGGAGGAAGAGGGAGAAGCGGGCCAGGGAAGAGTCCATTGCGAGTTTGCCGAGAAGAGGTTCTGAAGCGGGCTTCGCGGTTGGTTGGGTTCTTGAGTGCGAGAGGTTGAAAGGTTTGTGAGCGTCTTTCAAGTGAGTCGGCCTTCAGCGCCTCCGAGACGGCCCCAGAAGCCCCAAATAGGTCCGCAGAACGGCACCACGAGACACTCCTAGGGCCATTTTGAAATCTGGAGGAAGAGGAGGAGAAGGAAAGAGGAGGAAAGAAGGAGGAAAGGAGGAAGAAGAGGAGGAGGATGAGGAGGAGGAGGAGGACGAGGAGGAGGAGGCGGAGGAGGCGGATGGAGGATGCGGAGGAGGAGGAGGAGGAGGAGGAGGAGGAGGAGGATGCGGAGGATGCGATGATGAGGAGGAGGAGGAGGAGGAGGAGGAGGAGGAGGATTGGAGGAGGAGGAGGAGGAGGAGGAGGAGGTGGAGGAGGAGGAGGAGGGGTTCAGGCAAACACGACAGGGTCCACCAAGCAGCAGGCGCGCCACGCAGATTCGGGCCCCAGCCGCCAATCCTTGCTCCCAGCGCGGCGCCAAAACGTTGAGTTGTTGAGTTCGTATCGTTAGAATCGTCCGCGTTTTCGCCCCGTTGACCTTCTCTGGTCCTGCCCGAGTCTGGGGCCATTGCCAGCTCTCGGATCCATGGCTTAAGTTCTCCGGTTTGTGGGCCGCATGACTTCTCCTCCGCCACCTCCTCCTCCTCCTCCCTCACCGCTCGCCCGGGCAATACTTGTCACGGGTTACTCTTTTTGATCGCGTCTGTTTGTCTAGGGTGGCAGGATTTGCCCGCCCAGGCTGGCGCTCACAGCAAGAAGCAACACACTCATGTCCTCCTCCAGCTTCCAGCAAGAATTGTCACGTGCAGCTCCTGGTGTCATGTTGTGGCCTCCCAGGCTAAGGTTTTCTGCGCGAGTATGCCTATTGCAGGTCGACTTCTGCGGCGTTCCGGGTTTGCCTGGCAGGTCCTTGCCTACTGATAGATGAGGTTCAGGAGGGGAAAAGCACACAGACACAATTAATATTTGATTCCCAGGAAAGTGCTGGAAAATATGGGAAGTGGTGGGGAAGACGAAACCCAGAACATATCGATACATATATACATATATGTATAGGGAATCGTTTCATTTGTGTATATATGTATAGGGCCCCTTCAGAGGTGTGGAGTTTAGTCTTGTTTCTCGAGTGCGCAGGACACTCCGAGGAGGGTCCGGGCTCCACGCGGCCGTCAGTCGGCATGAGCCCGGCGTTCGTTGTCGCTCATGGGGAAGGAAACATGTTGGAAGTTTGGATTCCGATCCACGCTCCCGAGACATCGGCAAGGCCATGCGCCACGCCCCAGTTGATGTGCTTGTTTTCCACTACCACCATAAGTTGGAGGGGGAGGGGGTCCTCCTCCTCCTCCTCCTCCCCTCCTCCTCATCCTCCTCCTCCTCTTCGTCTTCCTCCTCCTGGTCCTCCTCCTCCTTCCCCCCTTCAACTCATGGTGGTGTTGGTGGAAAACAGGCCCATCACCAGTAGCGCCCGACAGCGCCCCTTTGGCTGCTCCACTTCGTGCCTTGAGGCTCGGTGGCGAATCTCTTTTGGAATGCTGAATCAAGTGTGCCGAAGTGGGGCAGATGATGGGTCGGACAGTGAAGATGAGACAGGCTGTCCATTTACAGAGCAGCTATGTGTCCTGAACACGCAGATATCCCTTCGAGGTACCATCTGCTGAATTCACTGGTTGGTTGCCCACACGTATTGAGCACTCCAGGCATCAAACTATCTTGAGTCGAGGTCCTCTGGTGATGCTCGGCGGACGCGATCGGAATAACCTTTCAGGCACCACGCGAGGGAGAAGGATGTAATCAAACAACAGAGGGAATGGGTGCTTCGGCGATGACGTACCCATTGCGAGGTTTCGTCGTTTTCCATTTGTCGCCCATTGCTTCCTTCGACGTTGCTATGGTCTCTCGGGCTTCGCGCCCATGACTCTCCCTCGTTGGCGTGCCCTCTGAAAGGGAAAGACAGAGGTCTTATCCTCTCGCCTCCATCTCCACAGTGAGTCTTGTCTTTGCATTGGCAGCACTTTCGGTTGAGGCAGGTGGCAGGTGTGACTGTGATGGAGATGGTCGGGGTGACGGGAGGACAGCTTTCGACTTCGGGTGGGGTGATTGCAAGCCTGTCAGCGTGCAGAAGAAGCAGTCGTTGAAGAAACTCGTCAAGGACCGCGGCCAAGGCTCTGTATCTGCTTTCCCCATTCCTCCTCGCCACCTTCTGGCAATGCTCTCTATGCGTCAGTGTCCACATATCGACTCTCAATTGCTGTCCATGTCCAGTTTCGGTTACTTTGAAGTGTTGGCCCCATATACGCATGTATTTGGATGATCTCGGGCCCGCAGGGCCAGTTTGAATACCAGTATCGATAATGCCTACGGCGAACCACCTCCGCCCCCTGTTCTGGAGACCCTCATGTGGCTCCGCTGGACCTCCCAGGCGCCCACGAAAGCGGCGACAGTGGGTCTGTTCGGCCCCCCCCCCCCTGATGCGAGGTGTCAATCTGATGTGTGTGAGGCACTGCTCCGTTGGACATCACAGGAGCCCACGAATCTGGCGACACATGCGGAGTTCGCAGCCCCAGAGAAGGCGATGTCTCATTCTGATGTTGCTTGAGACAGTACTCCACCGGACCCCCCAGGGGAGCACGAGAGCGGCAGCGGTTGAGCAGTTCAGGACCCCGAGGGAGGGCGAGGTCCCGCCCTGATTTGCTCGAGGCACCACTCCGCTGAGCCTCCCATGCGCCCACGGAAGCAGCGGCAGGGGTGTCATTCGCAGCCGCGGGGGAGGTGACGAGGTGTCGTCCTGATCTGCGTAAGGCGCTGCTCCGCTGGACCTCCCATGCGCCCACGGAAGCGGCGGCAGGGGTGTCATTCGCAGCCGCGGGGGAGGTGGCGAGGTGTCGTCCTGATCTGCGCAAGACGCCGCTCCGCTGGACCTCCCAGGAGCCCACGGAAGCGGCGACGGCGAGCGGCGCGCGCCGCCCGGACGAAGCTCTGCGCGACCGCCCGAGGTCGCTGGGGCTCCGGGGCGCACGGGAAGAGCAGCTCACGGTGTCGGACCTCTGGGCCTGTCGCTGTGAGCTCGACGGGAGATCCCGGCAGCACTGGCACCCCGTCGCAGGGTTCAGCGAAGGCGGGCCTCCTGGCTCTCCTCGACGCTTCCGCTTGGCAGACGGCGCTTCTTATGCCCCGCGGGTCCGAAGCGCTGCCGCCGCCGCCGCCGCTGCCAGCGCTTCCATCCGCTGGCACACGGCTCGTGTGCCCCGCCGCTCCTGGCGTCTCCCGAGGCGTCGTCGCTGCCTGATCCCGGGGGCGGCACAGTGCACCGCACCGCGCTGGAGCGGGGCCCGAAGGAGGTCCACACTCAGTGCAGTGCCTGCGCGCCGCTCCGGGGAGCCCGCCGCTGTCGCTGCCGGAAGTCACCTCGGGGCGAGGGCGAGCAGAGGTGCTCACCGGAGCGTTCGCGCGTCGGGGCGCTCTCGGAGCGCGCTGTGGAGCGCTCTGAGGAGGCCCCGCGGCGCCCGAGACGCCCCCCAGAGCCGCGGGATCTCGGAGAGGTTCTCGAGGCGCCCTCGCCCGGGCTGCTCCTCGCCCCGGCCTCGCCTTCTGGAGGGGCCGAGCGCCCCGAGGCCGCTGCCCCCCGGCCGCCCACGGGTCCTCCCCCGGGGAAGGGTCGAGAGGCGGGGCGGGGCCCCGAGGCCTCCCAGACCGCCCGGGGGCGCGTCCGACGGAGGCGTGGCTGGAGCGCTTCGGGGAGCCGCTGCGGCCTCCGGGCCCCTGACCAGAGGCCAGGGGCGGGGTCGAGGGCTTCGGGGCCCGCGTCGTGAAGTCGCCCTGGGGGAGCCAAGTCCCGAGGGAAGCGGGTCCTGAGGCGTCTCTCCGTCTTGGGGCTCTCGGGGCCCTGCACGGGCCCCAGGACTGTCAGAGAACGACCCAGGAGGGGGACGATCTCGTCCTGGGGGAAGGCCCCAGGGTCCAGGACCCGTGTCCCTCAGGACCCGTGTCCCTCCTGCCAATCGAGAGTCTCGCAGCCCGCGTCGTGAAGAGAACGGACGGCGGATGTTTGGGTCCTGGGAAGGCCACCCGTGCCGGAATTGTGGCTGGCCTTGTCAAGGGCAATGCTTGGTGGGATTGGCTCAGGGGGGGTGCATCGACCCCCAATCGCCCACTGATCGCCGATGCGGGCCCGATAGCTCGCCCCCCGGGAGCGGGGGGCCTATCGCTGATCTGTCGGCGATGTATCGCCGATTCAAGGCTTGTGTTTTCCCCCCTGCCAGTGCCCCCCTCACGTTGACAGGTCGTCTCGCTCCGTAGCGGGGCAGGGATGATCAAGCGCCCGCCAACTGTTGGCGCTTCGCGCATCCCCACCAGCCCTCCAGAAGCGGTCCCTGGGCGAGTTGCCTGGATCGGGCAAGCGCCGGAGCATGCAGTGGAATATAGAGGGGGGCAGCCTTCAAGCCGAAGACCCAGCAGTGAAGCAACAAGGCCGTCACGGATCTTTCGATCACGCAGCCCATGGTGTTGATAATGAGAAGGGAGAGGACGAGGGGGATGAGGAAGAGGATTGAGTTTTTTGGAGGAGGAGGAAGAGGTGGAACGACATGCCGACGGTAGACGATACCCCGAACTGCTGCCAGCGGTGGCCGCAAGGACATCACTGCTAGTGACAACTCCGCCTACAAGACGTTCTTCTCCGAGGACAACTGCCGAAAATTCTACGTCGAGCTGTCCCAGAAGGCGGACATCAGGCTCGAGGGCCGCTTGCCGCCTCTTGCCACAGAGCCGTGTGCAGGCGGGTCTCGCGTCTCGGCGGAGTGCAAGAGAGTGTCGGGTTCGCTTCTAGGCTCCCGTCCATGCGAGGAGTTGTGGGCGGAAAGCATGATCATTCATATCTACGGCCTCGCGGTCCGAACTCCTCGGCAGCGACCCCGTGGACCCAGGGTGGCTCTTTGCGCAGACGTCCCCGGCGCATGCAGGTCATCCGTGGCATCGCGTCTCCGAGTGCAGGCCGCGAGGGCAGGGAGACGTGGATGCGCTCGTCGCCCGTGACGTGCCAGGACGGTGCCGTGGTGGCGAGCGCTCCTGGGCCCCATAGCTCGAGCGGGGGATCGACTGCAGAATCCATTTGCCCAGCATTGATTCTCTTTCGTCTGGTCATACGCAGAGTGCTCGTATATCTGCGAAGATGCTTCACGCAGCTCCTCGTGGCTCCGACGAACAGCTCCACTATGCGTGCAGCCGATCCCCCACTCGAAGAGTGGATGCTGCCGCGCGTGCACGCTGGAGCCCGCAGCCCCCTCGGCCCCTCCCCGGCTTCGAGCCCGCGCCTGCGCGCGCCCGCCCTCCGTGGCGCCCCCCCCAGCGGGGCCGCGCCCCGCCCCCCCCGCCGCGGCCGATGGGCCAGGCGTGCGCCGCGGACGGGTGCTGCAGCGGCGACGACTGCAAAAGCTCGGCGGCGAGCGGGGGGGGGCCAGGTTGACCGTTACTGTGGCCCGTTGGGTGTTAGTGTGGCCCGTTGGGTGTTAGTGTGGCCCAAGTGTTGGCCCGTAGTAGTAGGTAGTAGTAGTATAGTAGTAGTAGGTAGTAGGTAGTAGTAGTAGTAGTAGTAGTAGTAGTAGTAGTGGTAGTAGTAGTAGTAGTAGTAGTAGTAGTAGTCGTGGTAGTAGTCGTAGTAGTAGTAGTAGTAGTAGTAGTAGTAGTTATAGTAGTAGTAGTAGTAGTAGTAGTAGTAGTAGTAGTAGTAGTAGTAGTAGTAGTAGTAGTAGTAGTAGTAGTAGTAGTAGTAGTAGTAGTAGTAGTATAAGTAGTAGTAGTAGAAGTAGTAGTAGTAGTAGTAGTAGTAGTAGTAGTAGTAGTAGTAGTAGTAGTAGTAGTAGTAGTAGTAGTAGTAGTAGTAGTAGTAGTAGTAGTAGTAGTAGTAGTAGTAGTAGTAGTAGTAGTAGTAGTAGTAGTAGTAGTAGTAGTAGTAGTAGTAGTAGTAGTAGTAGTAGTAGTAGTAGTAGTAGTAGTAGTAGTAGTAGTAGTAGTAGTAGTAGTAGTAGTAGTAGTAGTAGTAGTAGTAGTAGTAGTAGTAGTAGTAGTAGTAGTAGTAGTAGTAGTAGTAGTAGTAGTAGTAGTAGTAGTAGTAGTAGTAGTAGTAGTAGTAGTAGTAGTAGTAGTAGTAGTAGTAGTAGCTAGCATTAGTACGGGTACTCATACGAGTACTAATATTCGTAGTAGTCGTCGTCGACGTAGTAGGGATGGAAAGGGGAGGAGCAGGGAGGGAGAAGGAGGAAGTGAGGACGGAAAGAGGGAGGACGAGGTGTGCCATGGAATTGGGAGAAGGAGGGAGGCGATCGAGTGGGGGAGGACTCCGGAGGAGTGCCGAGGAGTGCAATGGAATGGGGAGGGACGGAGAGAAGGGAGAGGAGGGAGGAGGGTCGAGGGAGGGCGAGGGAGGAATGAGGAGGCAGGAGGAGGAGTGCCATGGAATGGGGAGGTGGAGGGAGTAGTGCGATTGGGTGGGGAGGACTCCAGAGGAGTGGGGAGGAACGCCGAAAAGCAAGATGGGGAGAGTTTCGAGGAGTGGGGAGGGATGCCGAGGAGTGCGGTGAAGTGCGGAAATGTATTGAAGAGTTGGGAGGAATGCGGAGAGAGGGGAGGAATGAAGTGAAGTGCAAAGGAGTGGGGAGGAGTGCGATGGAGTGCGAAGGAATGGGAAATTCTGGACGGCTCTTTGGAGGCCCTGAAGGCCTCGGAGAGCCCAAGAGGCTCTTCGGTTGCTCCAAGAGGCTCTTCGGGGAGCCCAAGAGGCTCTTCGGCGGCTACAAGAGGCTTGTCGGCGGCCCCTGGAGGCTCTTCCGAGAGGCTCTTCGGTGAAGGGGGGGGACGGAGGCTCTTTGGAGATCCCCCCCCCTTCACCGTACTCGTTGATTGATACCCTCCGGAGGAACCCTGGCCATACTAACACCCACCGGGCCGCACTAACAATCAACGGGTCACAGTAACACCTTATCTCGGCCAGGTTGCGGGGCCACATGCGAGCCCTGCCCCTACCCCCCCCAATTTCTTAGGGGGAGGGTAGGGTTCACTTCGCTCGGGAGCGAACCCTGCCCCTGGCCCCCACGATTTCTGAGGGGGAGGGTGGGGTTCACTTCGCTCGGGAGCTCTCTCTGCTCCTCCTCCTCCTTCTCCCAGCTCCCCCGTCATGTTCATCCTCTTCATTCTGGGCGACCCAAAAGGGGGTCCAGCTGCAAGGGGGTGGTGCAATAGATTTGGGGCAATTGTATTGCAAACGTATTGCGCCAGAGAATTGTATTGCATTGTACTGCAACGAATGTATTGCACGCGAAAATCCAGCAGTACATTTGCGCCCCGGAATGTACTGCACGCCCCAGATGTATTGCAGCCCCACGAATCTATTGCACCCACTCTACTGCACCACCCCCTTGTCGCTGGACCCCCTCCTGGGTCAACCCGATGCATCTCCCTGCTGCTCTGCTACTGCTCCAGTTCCCCGCTGCCCCCCGTCGCCCGCCGCCGAAGAGCACCGCGTGCTTCAGCGCGCCGGGCGGGGCCTCGGCGGAGGGCCTGGTCCGGGTCCAGGCCGCGCCGCGCGCCCCCGGCGCGGCGGAGGGCGGCGCGCCGCAGGCGGTGAGCTACTTCGACAAGGAGCTCCGGGAGCTGGAGGCGCGGGAGGGTAAGATACACACACTACCAGCTTGAAACATATCCCTATCCCTATGTTTGACATCACCTCACCTCGGTGCCGATCTTAAGGATTCCCTCAGTTTCTGAGGGCCCCTCCCTAAGATTGTCCTCGCTTTTTGCTCGCCCATCTTAGGGATAGGGATACGTTCGAGGCTGGTTAACACAGACAGCACACTTGATCGTCGATGGCCCAGAACATATGGGAAGATATGGGAAGTGGGGGGGAAGACAAAAGCCCAGACAATATGGGAAATGTGGGGGATCCTGCTAGTTGTGCCTATCTATTTCTGTGTCCCAGGGCCCCTTTCAGAGGCTCTGCTCGCGCAGCCGGAGGCCCTGGAGCCCGGCGCGAAGAAGCAGTTCCAGAGCGGGGCGGTGTACGTGGGCGGCTGGAAGGGCAACATGCGGCACGGCTTCGGGCGGCAGACCTGGCCGGACGGCGCGATGTACGAGGGGGAGTGGCGGGAGAACCGTGCCCGAGGGAACGGCAAGTTCTCTCACAGCGACGGTGACTTGTATGTGGGCCAGTGGGGGAACAACATGGCCAACGGCGTGGGCGTCTACTACCAGAAGGGGGCCAACACCTACAAAGGCGAGTGGCGGGACGACCACCAGCACGGCCACGGCGTCGAGGTCTGGGTCGAGGGGGCGCGCTTCGAGGGCACCTTCGTGGAGGGCAAGAAGGATGGCTATGGCTGCTACTACTGGACCGACGGCGCCGTCTATGAAGGCCGCTGGGTCGGCAACGCGATCGCTGGAACCGGCGCGTACCAGTCCAGCGATGGACGCCACTTCCGGGGCCAGTGGAGGGACTCCGTCATCCATGGCATCGGAGAGTACATCTGGCCAGGCGGGCGAGAGTACAGAGGCTGCTACGTAGATGACCAGAAGCAGGGGTTCGGCACCTTCAAGTGGCCCGACGGCAGGAGGTACGAGGGCTTCTGGGCCGGCGGCAAGCAGAGCGGCCTCGGGCTCTACGCGACGAGGGAGGGCGTGCGTAAGCTGGCCGAGTGGGCAGACGGCACTTGGGAGCGGGAAGCGGCACCACCACCACCACCACCACCCACCACCACCACCACCACCACCACCACCACCACCACCACCACCACCACCACCACCACCACCACCACCACCACCACCACCACCACCACCACCACCACCACCATCACCACCACCTGTGGGGGTTGAGGCTGAGCCGGTGTGCGGGGGCTGCGGGTGCGCATGCTGTCCCGCCCGGGCGCCCGCAGCGAGCTGCACCACCGCGAAAGCACCGGCTGCCTCCATCGTGCAGGTGGCGGTGGTGGTGCGGCTCCTCCCCCCCCGGCAGGCAAGCGCATCCGAGACGTGGAGGGCGGCCTCCCCGAGGGCGCGCTGCAGGCTGCCCCGCGGGCGTGAGGACCCTGGCCGGCGGGGCATGGCGGGCGCGGCGCGGCGGCTCCTCAAGGGCGGTGCGGGCCTCGGCGCGTCGCCTCGGGCAGCGCCCGAGGCCTGGGGCGCCGGGAGGCCGCCGGGGCGGCGCGCGAGGCGGTCGGCAGCATCCTGCGCGGCCGGTAGTGCAGATCGGCGACGAGCGAGGGGCGGGGGGAGGAGCGAGGAGGAGGAGGCCCTGTCAGAGGGCGGCGGGGCGCCGCAGAAGCCCCCCCCGTGCCTTCCGAGGAGTGGTCTCCGTCTTCCTCGGGGGAGGCTCGGGGCAGATCCCGGAAGGCCCTGGGGACTGCCGAGCCTTCTGAGAGGGCCCGGCCCCTCCCACTCCCCCCCGGGCGCGCCGGCAGTGCAGAGCTGGTGGAACGCCGTCCGGGAAGAGCGCCCACGCGGCGGTGTGGTCTGCAGGGCCTTCCCCACCTGTGGCAACTGCAGCGCCGCTGACGCGGCACCGCCGCTGAGGACGCGGACGAAGATTCGAGTAGGGGATCGACAGCAGAGTTGATTTACCCCGAACTTGGTTTTCTCGTCGAGCCCACGAGGAAAACACGCATAGAATCGTCAATCGATCTACGGAGCAGTGTAGGTACGCTTCTTAGATTCGACGGGTAATCAACTGTGGGGCACATCGATTCTGTAGTCGATTCCCTACTCGAGAGATGCCCTCTCGGCGTCCCGCCGGGCCCCCTCCGCGGTCCGCGCAGGCGCCGACTATGGCCTGGGGCCACGGAGCGGGCCGTGGACGAGCCCGAGGAGCGCGGCCCTCCGGTGTGGCGCTGGCCGTCTGGGGGTGCTCCGCTCGGTCGGCCACTTCGCGAGGGGAGGGCCGCTGGCCTGGTGCGCAGCGCCGCCATCGCCGGCGTCCTCGGAGTCAAAGAAGAACAAACCAGGTAAATATGAGCTTTTGGCGCTCCGCGCGGATTTCTTGGATCCGCGCCTGGGCCCCCCGGCGGCGCCTCTGGCGCCGCCCCTGGCGCGCTCCGCGCGCCAGGGAGGGGGTCCAGCGCGAATCCAAGGTATCTGCGCGGAGCGCCAAAAGTCAATGTTTATGTATTTTTCTTCTTTTGCAGAGTGCAGCTGCCTCGATGATTATCGGCGGCGAGCGCGGGGGGGAGGTGAGAGGGGGCGGGCCTTCTCAGAAGGCTCTGAAGTCCCCTGGCCTTGGAGGAGTTGTCTAGGCCTTCCCCGAAGACGCAGACGGCGCCATGCCTTCTGAGAGGTCCCGCCGCCTTCTAAGAAGGCCTTCTCCTTCTCATGTCCCCTCTTCGCTCGCCGTCAAGATTAGGATGCGACTCCTGCGAGGCTTAAGGGACGGGGATAAATGCAAACCGGGGTCAGTCAGAGCGTCGGGTCTTGCAGGATCCTGCAGGCCCAGGGTTGCACTTACCCAGCTTAGCGTGCAGGATCTTGCAGGATCCTGCAAGGGCTGACTGACCAGTGCTCGGATTGACCCGGGTCAGTAGATCCCGACTGCTGCTTCGCTGCCCCCGATGATAAGGATGCAACTCCTGCGGAGGTAAGTTCAGTGTCGGCGCTGGTATCGGGGGGCCACACGCGAACCCTACCCCTACCCCCCACGATTTCTGAGGGGGAGGGTGGGGTTCACTTCGCTCGGGATCTCCCGAACGAAGTGAATCCCGCCCTCCCCCTCAGAAATCGTGGGGGGTAGGGGTAGGGTTCGCATGTGGCCCCCTAAGGATGCAACTCCTGCGAAGGTAAGTTCAGTGTCGGCGCTGGTATTCCCTGGACGAAAACCGGCCCCATCGTGTTTCACCAAGCTCTGCGACGCCCAGGGGACGGTCGGCCTGGCCGAGGCACCTACGACCCTCCAGGGAAGGACGCCCTCTGCGAAGGAGTGCTGCTCCGGCTGCGGGAGGAGAACTTTGCCATCCGCCGAGTCCGCAGCACGCGGGGCCTCTGCGTCGACTGGCACGCCGCCTGGCAGAAGCAGCTGCGGCGCAACGAGCAGCAGCAGTGGGACAAGGGCAAGGGCAAGGGAAAGGGCCAGGACCCCGCGGGGAGAGGCAAAAGACGTGCCGACCCCTCTTGGCCCAACAACGACCAGTCCAGGCAGCGCCTTCCCAATTCCACCGACCTATATCTCTGACGCACACCCTGGTCGCCAACTGGGCGCGCTCGCCCTGCTTGGTGTCACGACCCTGCAGCGCCCCGGCCCAGGGAACCCGACCCCTGGGCGCCCCCTGTGCCTGGCCCCCCCCAGCCAACCGCCAAGGGACGTGCCAAGGGAGTTGTTGCCCCCAGGCCGAGCCCAGCTGACGTCATCCACTCCTGAGCCGCCTGGCGGATCCTGCTGCCGCGCGCCTGCCACCCCGGCGGCGCATGGCTTCCTTTTTGCTCTCCCTCCCCCGCGCCCGTCCGCTCGCCGCCCACCGGCTGCGCGCCGCCCGCCCCTGCGGCGTGCAGCCCCAGCGGCCTGCTCCAACTGCACACTCTCTTGCACAACATAGGCGCCCCGACCTGGCCCACCCCGTCCAGCCCTGCGGCGGGGGCCGCTGGCCTCGGCCACAGTTCTGACGGGCCACGGAGCGCCGCCCGCTGTCCACCCCGGCCGCGAATGGCCGCCCTGGCCCTCCTTTGGCCCACCATGTCCACCCAGGCAGTTCGGGGCCGCTGGCTCTGGCGCCAGCTTTGGCCAGCCAACGGCGCGCCGGTTGCCGCCCACCCCGGCAGCGAGCTGCCTCCATGACCCCCCGCACAGTTGGGGCGCGCATCAAGAAACCATATACTTTTCGTCAGGGTGCCTGGGGTTTCTTCGCTCCGCGCGCTGCGAGGTGACCTCCCGCGGCTGTCAAAGGAACTGCTGCGCTCAGGGTGCTCCGTGTTTCTCCTCAGGGCCACTTCGCGCGCGGGTTTTGAGGGCTGGGTTTCTTGCGAGAGTTTCTTGCGACCGCGCCCGCACTGTATTTATGCCGGTCTTTGCACCCCCTTCAACCCTGTGCTGCCGCAGCCTCAGGGCCCCCTGCTGCAGCAACCCAGCGCGCCGCACGCAGCTTGCTGTCGCCGGCGCGGCAGCGGTGTTGCCGCTCCGCCTGCGGGGCTTCCCGCAGGCGGGGCGCTTCTCCTCCCTGTTCTCCCTCCCCTCCCCCAGCGTGCTCTCCCTCCTTCGCGCGCCGCCATGGTTCATGGGCTGCTGCCTCTTGCAGCCACCACGCGTTCGGGATCCTGGGCCTGGTCTTGCCGCCAGTTCCCCCACGCTGACCCAGCATTTTGCTGGATGCAGTCCCACCTGGATGCAATTTTACTTGACGCGCCTTGTCCTGCGCCCCCACCAGGGCGGCGCGCGGCCCGCCGGCTTTGCACCTCGTGCTCGACGTCGGCGACTCGCTGCCTCGTCCTGCAGTACCCGCCGGGTCCCACCTCCGCAGGTGCACCACCGCAGCGGCCCCGCTGCGACTGCAACCCCCGCAGGCAGGGCTGGCCGCGCCAGCCACTCAGGGCTGTGACCCGTCCGACCTGAGTGGCCCTCGCCTCGCCCCTTTGCTCTGCGGCCGCCCGCCCTGTCCCATTTTCCCGCTCTTGCATGCTGGCCAATTCGCTACAACGGTGCCCCCGTTTAGTCTAGCTCACTCCGCCAGCGCCACGTCCCCTGCCTAACCGCAGACGCAACAATCTTCTTTCACCCTGCCCAATCTGGTTCAGTCCCAGGCCAAACCTAAACTAATGTGATCCAGCGGCCCCTCAATCGGGCTCTGCGGCCCTTAGATCGTTCTTGCGATGGCCTCCCAGAAGCTGCCTCTTAAGGATGAGCGCCCCACAGCCGAGTGGCCCTCCGAGTTCGAGCGCCTCGACCCCGCCCCGCGGCGAATCCGCGCCGGCAGCCTCCTCGCGCCGCCCAGTGCGTTGGCGGGCGCTCGGAGGAGGCCCCCCCCCAGGAGAAGAAAATTGGAGGCCTCGCGCGGCGCGCAGCAGTGGTATCATCTAATCCGCTCGTTCGCTTCGCCAGGTGAAGGACGATGCTCGCGCGGCGACGCACCGACGCCCGTCCGACGTGAAAGTCCGACGCGAACCCGACGTGCGCCCGACGTGGGCCCGATGTCGGTGGGGCATCGGACGGGGCCAGGACGAGGACATATCTTTTCGAGAGCGTATCGGACGGGGCCAGGACGAATATATACCTGTTCCGGAACGCTCCGTGAAAACCGCCGCGCCCAAGACATATTTTCCGTAGCCGCCGGATCTATTATATTCTCGCTGTATGTCTTCGTTTGCCGCCCGAACTCATCTTCGTGTTGGCTTCGTCTCATGAGTGGGGCTTCGGGTTGCCGCGCGAGGCCGCCAGGAGGCCTCTCCAGGGGCGGGGGCGCGCCTCGGTGGGGCTTCGGGGCCATCGAGGGCCGCGGGGCCATCGAGGGCCGCGAATGGCAGGCCTCGGAGGGGCCCTTGGGGCCGGGCCGGCGAGGCTGCGGGCAATGGCGAGGCCTTCCCGGGGCCCGCGCTTCGGAGGCCGGGCGAGGGCGAGCGCGGTAGACTCGCAGGCCTAGAGGTTGACACCAACACCAATATCGGAGGTGCGCCTCCACCGCGGGAAGAAGATCCCGACCTCGGTGATGGTGGTAATATTATGGCTTCCAAGGTGACCGAAATATTACCACCAACACCGAAATCTAGGAGCATCGTCCCCCTGTGGAGGCAACCCCCTGTGTTGGTGTTGGTGCCCATTTCCAGGCCTCCAAGTAGACTTGCCGCCTCCTAGGGCCGCAGTGCCCGCGGAGTCTCGGCCACGCGCCGAGGAGGAAAAGGTGCCAATGCCGCTGCCCTTCCCTCGCTTTCCTCTATTCGGGCCCCCTGGGAGGCCCTCCTCGCCACCGCTGGGTTCGCCTTGGGATGCTGGCCAGGACGCACACCAGGAAAGGTCCGGGGAATACCGCGGATCTACATCGTCGCCGTCGTCATAATGTTCATCAGCCCTTGCCTTGTCGCTGTGTGCGCGGAAAGGGAGAGGCAAAAGCGAC